TAGTAGAGACGGGGTTTCGCTGTGTTGGACAGGATGGTCTTGATCTCCTGACCTCGTGATCCGCCCGCCTCAGCCTCCCAAAGTGCTGGGATTACAGGCGTGAGCCACCGCGCCCGTTTTTTGAGACAGAGTCTTGCTCTGTCGCCCAGGCTGGAGTGCCTTGGCGAAATCTCGGCTCACTGCAAGCTCCGCCTCCGGGGTTCACGCCATTCTCCTGCCTCAGCCTCCTGAGTAGCTGGGACTACAGGCGCCCGCCACCACACCTGGCTAATTTTTTTTGTATTTTTAGTAGAGACGGAGTTTCACCGTGTTAGCCAGGATCGTCTCGATCTCCTGACCTCGTGATCTGCCCGCCTCGGTCTCCCAAAGTGCTGGGATTACAGGCGTGAGCCACCGCGCCCGGCCCCTAGTTAACTTTTTTTTTTTTTATTTCCTCCTTTTCCTTTTTTTCTCTTGAAGTTGAAGCCTTGGAGGTGCTTTTCATTCAATTACAGAAAGCACCACCCCAGCTTAAAATGTATTTAATTTTATTTACAGGATTACATAATATATGGAAAATGAAATACATGTTTTTCCCAGGGGGTCCCATTTTGACTCCCCCAATACCCTCCAGTTCATCCCAGAATGCTGTAGAAATCTATACATTTCCTGGATGTCTCAGGAGGTGAAGAAAAAAAAGGCAGGGAGTGAGCCCAGCTGACTCTACATCCAGAAACCTCTCTCAAGGCAGCTCGCGCCCCCAGGCAGGATTCCAACAGTGCGGAAGCCCCCAGTCCCCAAGTCCGGGGTGGCAAGGACGTCCAGCCTCCCCGGGGAGCCACCTTGGCCCTCCCTCCCTCCTGCTGGCTGGGTGCCGCGCTGCGGGGCTGCTCAGGTTGGTAACTGTGCAGACTGACGCCGGGGCCCGCCTGCTTGACGATGGGGATTGGTGGGGTGGGGGTGTTGCGAGGGGCGACAAGGCTCTCCCTCGCTGCAACCACGGAAAAGGCGGGTCAGCCTCCATTACAAACCACTGTAGGAGGGGCCAGAAGCTTGGCTTGGCCAGACCCGGCCGTCGTTGAATCCCTGCATCCATCCTGCCCAGGTCCCCTGCTGAGTCCCCCCTGGGCTGTGATCGTTGCGGATTTAAACACCCCACTGTGGAAGCGGAGATGGCCCCGCGTGTACCCATGAAGTGAAGGGGAGCGTGGCAAATGAGGCGGGGCGAGAGCGGCCAGAGCAGACCCCGGCGGGGTGGCCCGCCCGGGAGGTGGCTGAGGGTCCCCGGCTGCGGGGTGAGGGACGGGACCGAGCGGCACCCCCTCCGTGATCGCCACCAGAGGCCGCCTGGAACCCGAGTTTCAACCTCCCGGTGGATCCTGTCCCCGCTTCCTAGCGATGTTTGTCATGACTGCTGCGAGTTCTCCGACCTCGAGGCCACTCTCCTTTCCTTCCAAGGACGCCCAGAACCCGCGGAGGGAGGAGGGGGGAGGGAAGAGGGAAGAGGGAGGAGGGAGGGAGGAACGTGGCGGGGAGAAGAAGAGAGGGAGGGAGGAAAAGGAACGAACTGCGTTGGCCTGTCGCCTCCGCACTGTAAGATTCTGGCACCCTGGGTCCCGGCCCCCTCTCCTGGGGCCAAACGTTCCGGTTCCTGATGCCAGGCTGCAGAAAAAATGAGCACACAGAACACGTGGACTAGCACATAAATAAGGTTATTACCTCCTTTTTATTTTTTGCACACTAATTAATAAATAAACTACTGCAACGGAAAAAGAGAAAGCAGGCAGAATGCAAACAGCCTGGCGGTGGCTCTGTTATATAAGAGGGATGCATGGAGGCTGCTTGGTGGTCAAAGAATTCCTCCAATGCCCGCTCCAAAGCGGAGCCCTGCAACGGCCTTAAATCAAAAGGAAAGCGGGCGTCAGCAGCAAGCACAGAAAGTGGGGCCTGGTTCAGCCAGAAACTAACACAGTATTCCTGCTGGAGTGGGGATGGGGGCACGACTATTACAAAACTAGGCCCCCCTGAAAGCGCCCTGCCCCACCCAACACACACATTCACTTCCTTGCAGGTTTGCGCTGCAGGCAGCTTCCGCTGAACCATACCCTGACCTCCACTCCCATGACCAGAGTTGCTGGGGCTGGGAGCAGGCACCTGCCCCAAGCACTGGGCCGCCAGCGTCCCCTTGCCCAGGAATTTAGGACTGGGGTAGAGAAAGGGAAAACAGTGTATATGGAAAGCGGGAGATCATCCTGTGTAAACAGGGGAGCTGGGGAGAGAGAGGCTACAGGGATTCTGCCGTCCGCCTCACTGCAGCATCCTCCCAGCATCTGTAACCATCCCTGTTTTCCGGTTCCCGAGGCACCTATGACCTATAACGTCCTTCTGAGGCTCAGTGAGCTAGAAACTTCTGTTACTTGCACCCAGCAGAGTTCTAAATAATATGCCCTCAAAACCAAGCTTGCTTTCTCGTTTTACTTTTTTTTTTTTTAATAGACTTTATATTTTTCGAGCAGTTTTAGGTTCACAGCAAAATTGAGAGGAAGGTGCAGAGATTTCCCATATTCCCCCCTGCCCCTGCACAAGCGCAGCCTCCCCTCAGCAGCATCCCCCTCCAGATGAGCCTGCATGGACATATCATTATCACCCAGGAACCACAGCTGACATTAGGGTTCACTCTTGCTGTGGTACATTCTGTGGGTTTGGACTAATGCATAATGCCACACATCCACCATTACAGTGTCATACAGAGTATTTTCACCGCCCTAAAAATCCACTGTGCTCCACCTATTCATCCCCCCTCCCCACAACACCTGGCAGTTGCTGAATTATTTTTCACCTTCTCCATAGTCTTGCTTTTTCCAGAATGCCATATAGTTGGAATCATACAGTATGCAGCCTTTTCAGATTGGCTTTCACTTAGTAATTCCTTTTACTTTTGCAGTAACAGTTTCCTGCTTACATTTTCCCAACCCTTCTTTCATGTAGTGTATGGTACGTACACGGTACATCACATCTTCTAACTGAGGAAAAATCTCATTTCAGGCCTAGAAAAAAATTAGAATCAAGTGTTTTTCCTTTCAGAAAAAGGAAATTAACATTTGTGGAAAACTTGAAATGAGAGATCCCAGCATTTCTATTTCCAGCCATAGTGCAACCTGTCTAAAGCGTTCTCTGATTTATCTTCCAGAGAGAGTTTTAAACACCTGGGGAGGCATGTGCAGAAGAGCGGTTTCCTCACCCAAGGATGGGCACCACCCTGTGGCCTGGCACCCATGGCACGGTTCTGAGGGCTTCCCCCTCTGCCCTGGCAGCGTGATTCCATCTGCTGTGAGGAGAGTCCAGCGGCACTCTGCGTTGAAACAAAGCCATGGAACCCTGTTGCAGGAGCACCTGCAAACACTCATCACCTCCTTATTTCTCCGGCGGTCATAATCGGTGTGCCATTGGCAGGTGTTTCTCTCATTTAATCCCCACTCTGTTTCTGCAACATTCTCCTGTCAGCCATAATAACAGCAACAGCAGTTTAAATGTACTGACTGTTGATTATGTTCCAGGCACCTTCCTTTTTTTAATTTAATTTTTTTGAGACGGAGCCTCATTCTGTCACCCAGGCTGGAGTGCAGCAGTGCGATCTCCGCTCACTGCAACCTCCGCCTCCTGGGTTCAAGTGATTCTCGTGCTTTAGCGTTCCGAGTAGCTGGAATTACAGGCACTCGCCACCACATCTCGCACATCCAGCTAATTTTTGTATTTTTAGTAGAGATGGGGTTTCCCCATGTTGCCCAGGCTGGTCTTGAACTCCTGACCTCAGGTGATCCACCTGCTTCGGCCTCCCAAAGAGCTGGAATTACAGGCATGAGCCACCGCACCCAGTCTCCAGACACCTTTCTAAGGGCTTTATTTTTATTTATTTACCTTTTTTTTTTTAGACAGTCTCACTCTGTCACCCAGGCTGGAGTGCAGTGGCATGATCATGGCTCACTGCAGCCTCAACATCCTGGGCTCAAGCGATCCTCCCACCTTAGCCTACTGAGTAGCTGGGAGTACAGGTGGCATGTGCCACCACACCTGGCTAATTTTTGATGTTTTGCAGAGATGAGGGTTTCACTATGTTGCCCAGGCTGGTCTCGAACTCCTGGGCGCAAACCATCTTCCTGCCTTGGCCTCCCAAAGTGCTAGGATTACAGGCATGAGCCACTGCATCCAGCCTAGCACTTTTATTATTATTGTTGTTGTTATTTTCTTTCTTTCTTTCTTTCTTTTTTTTTTTTTTTTTGAGACGGAGTTTTGCTCTTGTTGCCCAGGCTGGAGTGCAATGGCGCGCTCTCAGCTCACCGCAACCTCCGCCTCCTGGGTTCAAGCGATTTTCCTGCATCAGCCTCCCGAGTAGCTGGGATTATAGGCATGAGCCACCACGCCTGGCTAATTTTGTATTATTAGTAGAGATGGGGTTTCTCCATGTTGGTCAGGCTGGTCTCAAACTCCCGACCTCAGGTGATCTGCCCACCTCGGTCTCCCAAAGTGCTGGAATTACAGGTGTGAGCCATGGCGCCCGACATTTATTATTATTATTTTCTTAGAGACAGGGTCCCACAATTCTTCTGCCTTGTCCTCTGGAGTAGCTGGGACTATGGGTCTGCTTCACTGTGTCTGGCTTATTCTCATTTTTCAAGATGTTAGTTAACTTTCTCAATATCACATGCTAGTTGGGAGACAAAGTCAACACAGGTGGATCACTTAGCAAGGCAAATGCCTACAAATCCTGTTTAATAAAGCACACATTCAGTCCAAGAAAGTTGAGGCCACAGAGTGTATGATGTAGTTATCTATGGAAAGGTCCCTAAAAGTAAGTGCCTCTTCCTTTTTTCTGAGGCAAGGTCTCACTCTGTTGCCCAGGCAGGAGTACACTGGCACAAACACGGCTCACTGCAGCCTTGTCCTCCTGGGTTCAAGAAATCCTCCTGCTTCAGCCTCCCCAGTAGCTGGGAGTACAGGCACGCACCACCACACCCAGCTGATTTTTTACTTTTTGTAGAGACAGATTTTGCTATATATTGCCCAGGCTGGTGTGCCTCTTTCTTTCTTTCTTTTGTTTGGTTTTGTTTTTGAGATAGAGTCTCGCTCTGTTGCCCAGGCTGGAGTGCAGTGGCATGATCTCGGCTCACTGCAACCTCCGCCTCCCAGGATCAAGCTATTCTCCTGCCTCAGCCTCCTGAGTACCTGGGACTACAGGTGCCTGCCACCACGCCTGGCTAATTTTTTGTATTTCACCGTGTTAGCCAGGATGGTCTTGATCTCCTGACCTCGTGGTCCACCTGCCTTGGCCTGTTTTAGGATTACAGGTGTGAGCCACCGTGCCCGGCCCTATTTTTATTTTTATTTTGAGACAGGGTATCACTCTGTCAGCCAGGCTGGAATGCAGTGGTGGGTTCACGGCTCACTGCAGCCTCAACCTCCTGGGCTCAAGCAATCCTCCCACCTCAGCCTCCCAAAGAGCTGGGACTACGGTTGTGAGCTACCATACCCAGCTACTTTTAAAAATTTTTGTAGAGATGTGGGTCTCACCATGTTGCTCAGGCTGGTCTCAAACTCCTGGATTCAAGCAATCCTCCTGCCTCAGCCTCCCAAAGTGCTGGGATTACAGGCATGCGCCATCGCGCCCTGCCACGGTTCCTATTTTGTAATCTGCTGAGCTCTATTGCAATGCCTCTGCCCTGTTCTGCCTGGAATGCCGCTCCCTCCCTTCCCTCACCTTTTTGATGGCTTCTTCAAAAACTGAATTCACTATTCACCTACAGACATTCCCACCACCTCAAGAAAGGTGGGGTGTCACTGCCAAAGTGAAAGACAGGCCATACCACCTACCATTAAGAAAGAGGCAGCCGGGCGTGGTGGCTCACGCCTGTAATCCCAACACTTTGGGAGGCAGAGGTGGGCGGATCATGAGGTCAGGAGACTGAGACCATCCTGGTTAACACGGTGAAACCCTGTCTCTACTAAAAATACAAAATTAGCCGGGCATGGTGGCACATGCCTGTAATCCCAGCTACTAGGGAGGCTGAGGCAGGAGAATCGCTTGAACCTGGGAGGCGGAGGTTGTGGTGAGCCGAGATCGTGCCATTGCACTCCAGCCTGGGCAACAAGAGTGAAACTTCATCTCAAAAAAAAAAAAAAAGTATTGGAGATTACATAAATACTGAATTTGGCCCAGGCCTGTAATCCCAGCACTTTGGGAGGCAGAAGTGGGTGGATCACCTGAGGTCAGGAGTTCGAGACCAGCCTGGCCAACGTGGCAAAACCCTCTCTCTACTAAAAATACAAAAAATTGGCTGGGCGCGGTGGCTCACGCCTGTAATCCCAGCATTTTGGGAGGCCGAGGCGGGCGGATCGCCTAAGGTCGGGAGTTTGAGATTAGCCTGGCCAGCATGGTGAAAACTCATCTCTACTAAAAATACAAAAATTAGCTGGGCGTGGTGGCAGGCACCTGTAATCCCAGCTGCTCAGGAAGCTGAGGCAGGAGAATCACTTGAACACGGGAGGCAGAGGTTGCAGTGAGCCAAGATCACACCATTGCACTCCAGCCTGGGCAACAGAGTGAGACTGTCTCAAAAAAACATATACAAAAAAAAAAAAAAAACAAAACCAAAAAATTAGCCAGGTGCAGTAGTGTGCGCCTGTAATCCCAGCTACTTGGGAGGCTGAGTCGGGAGAATCGCTCAAACCCAGGAGGTGGAGGTTGCAATGAGCCAAGATGGCGCCTTTGCACTCAAGCCTGAGTGAAACTCCATCTCA